TAACTGCACTTGCGGGCCTCGGCCTCCCCCGGGGAGGGGAGGAGGGGGGAGGCGGAGAGAGTATGTCGTACTACCATACAACTACCGTAGGTTGCGTGAGATATCACACTNTCGATCTCGTGACCGCGGTAACTCCCGACCGCCAAACTCAGGATCCTCTCCTACACGGTGCTAGGGACCGTATATCCGTCGTTGTTGGGTGGTTTTTTCGAGGGTTAACTGCAGTTGCGGGCCTCGGCCTCCCCCGGGGAGGGGAGGAGGGGGGAGGCGGAGAGAGTATGTCGTACTACCATACAACTACCGTAGGTTGCGTGAGATATCACACTCCTGGACCGATTTTCAAAGCTCGATTACTCCACGACGAAGAGGATGCCGAAATTGAAGTATATGTACGTTTTCGGAAAGCTCTCGACGAGACCGTTCCAACGCCGCCATTTCCGGCAACGTCGCTGTTTTACCTCCCGAGGTATCGAGCTTCCAAAATCGTTCCAGGGGATGCGATATCTTCCATCATGCAACCTGCGGTACATGCCCACCACACACGGCGGTCGGTACACACCTTCAGTGATGAGTAGAATAAGCCTGATTACACTCCTGCACCCCGCAGGTTCCATAACATACCGCACCCGAACGGATTTTCACAGCTCAGTTGCTCCGCAGCAAAAACGTTGACAGCAGTGTCTATGCTGCTTTGGAAACATCCCGTGGAGACCTACGTAAGCCCAAACACGCATCATCTGATGTTGGTACAATATTACCTTCGTGGAAGAGGAAATTGTCCAGATTTGGACAGGGGATGGGAGTGGGAGTGTTACGCAACCTACAGCAGGTACTACATGAACTCCGTGGTGAAGTGTTACGCAACCTACACATTCTAGTGCTGCAGTCGTGATCCTTGTCTCAAACGAGCTCCTCGGTGGTTGTAAATCGTCTCGAACACGATCCAGATCTTCGAGCTGCAGTCGTCCCTCCTGGCGGAGGATGTCGGGGAGATCGACGAGGCACTGCTACGAGAGTGCGCGGCGTGGTTTTGTCCCCAGCACCTGCAGGACATCGTCATCGAGAGGAGCGAGGCTGAGGGGAGGTGCGTTGCGCGATCTCTGCCCTGCAAGAGATATTTGCTGGCGAATTGAGTGTATTTGACCCCCCCTTGCAAATGTGAAGGTAAATCGGCTGCTGTCCCTTAAGTTGAATTCACAAGATATGCCCTGCCCAGACCAGAACCAAACAATAATTAAAGTCGAATATGCATTCAAGACTCTTGTTGCTGTTGTTGTTGTTGTTGTTGTTGTTGTTTGTTGTTGTTGTTTCTCACATTTGCTTTTTAGTCCACAAAAAATGGGGAGCCCGTGGTCTCAAAACCCAGCACATACGACGCCGCGCGGAAACAAAACAGGAATAGGGTACAAACCACTCGGAAAAAGAAAACAATATGATAGAAAGAAAAGGACAGGTATCGCACCGACCGTTCGAGAAAAGAGCCCTCGGGAACCGATCAAAGTAAAAGCAACAACAAAAATAAAGGAGGACGCTTCCCACACCCGCCCAAAGAAAAAATCAAAGGGTAACGTACCAGCACCAGGCACTACGCGCCAGGGTATGGGAGTAACGGAGCAAACAGAACAAAGAGGCGGCAGATGGGCAGACAGCCAAACGTACACAACAAAGGCAACGGCAAAAGCGAGATCAAGGTACCCAACACAGTAGAGTAGGCAGGGAGGTCATGAAAAAAAGCACACAGCACAGAGGCCGAATGCAGTACAAAGGACATACATAAAGGAGTATAGCATACAGCAGGGAGGGAAACAGGGCGCAACAACATCAGCCGGGTACATGTTCGCCACAAGTGCTGCCTCGGCCGCCCTACTCGCTTCTACAGCAGTGCCCGGTCGCCGTTTCTTCCCCCCCACCGCCG